TGGCTGAACTGTCAACTGTCAGTCAGTCAGTTGGATTGGTCGACTCCTCGTCTGCTGTGCCTTGTTGCATGGCTCGACGTGCAACTGGACATCAATATGGAACTATGTGGCACTCTCCATGCCCACTCTGTCTCTTTCTAGCTTGCCTTTCGACCGTTGCCTGTAGGTTTGGAGCATGTTACTTTACCTGCTGATAACTGATATTTGACAACTTTTGATGTGCTGACATTGACAGCGGCAGGCGGCCCTTCGTCTGACTGTGCGCAGATCCCTCTGGTATGCGTATGTGTGTGTATTGTCTGGGTGTTGTGTATGCCTTTCTGTGTATCGGATATTTAAGAAATTGGACAGCTGCTTCGCAGAGCGGCAACTGGATGCCATGCAAAAGAGTTATATGAAGTTTTTTTATTTATAGCTGATAGCCAACGCTTAGCTCTCAACTGTCGCATACGGATAAACCATCTAGCATTTTAAGTAGACAGCTATAAATCCGTTTAATATTTACAGGCAAGTTTAACATACGATTATTCGCACATTTGTAAAACCCATCAGAATTTCATCGCATCACATCAAGTTTCTTATTAGACAAGGACCCATGGACTATATTTTATCAAATATCTTTATTGATAAGACTTCTGAAAGCTATAGCTGCCTGTATGTAGTTTCGCGCCTGGTAGTCAGCTCACTGAAATGGGCGACTTACCGTAAAACATAACAATAAACCCAGTTTGCTGTATGATCGTTTCAATAACAAGCTCTTGTTTTTATGCCATCTTCCAGCAGCTGAAGGCTCAACCGACTTTCTAGTAATGATTATGGCCAGAGGAGGCAAAGACCGTTAAAAAGCATCTGCGTAATATGAGTGGAAAAAGCGTTTTATTGAAATGAGCAACGATCGAATTGTGTTCCAAATGAACTCGTTCTCATTGAAACAACAACAACAACACGGGGGAAAGATGCAATTTGGCTGAGACTCAAGTTGGATCTTTGAAAGCACCGCGCCAACATTTAACGAGGTGGTCAAGATTGTGCCAAAAAACGTTGGGTAATTACATGACAGAACTGTGCGTGCTTACACACACACACACACACACACACTCGATAGCTATAGTTCATATATGATATGAGGCACTTTGGCTTGCCGTTTAAGTTGATGAATATGAATTTTGTGGCAACGTTTTATGGGTCTGCTGTCAAAAGGGGCGAGGAGTTAAATCAGCGGCAGGCACTTGATTGCACTTGTCAGTAACAAAGAGTTTCGCCATAATTTAATGTAACGATTTTACTACTAGCTCAACTACTTGGAAAGTTTTCTAATTATAATGAGCCTGGGCACAAGCAACATCATCATGTCAATTGGCGCGTACCCGAATTGTGAAGAGTTTCAACCTAATTACTAATAAACGCCAACGTTGGATGTCATTGTCGAGCAGTTGTTGTTAAAGTTGTAGCAGCAGCTCTCAGCTTGGTCTCTGTACGCGTAGCTGCAGCCGCCGCCGCCGCCTCCCCACCTACTGTGAAGTGGCTGTCATCATTTTAATGCCAACTCGTTACTTTATTTATCATCAACATCATTTCGAGCTCAACGCTGACAAGCAGACAGTAGCCGAGGCAGTAGCTGCAACTACAACTTCACGTAGAACCTAGAGGGAACCAACTGCAAGCGGACTATAGACCAGGGGGCGAACAGAGGCAGCCCAGCGCCCGTTACATTGACTACGGCACAGATAAAAGCCTTTCCATGTCGCTTCAAATTTAAGTTTTCAATTAAAAAAGACATAAAATGCTCTACTACCAATGTGTGTGTATGTGTGTGTGTGTGTGACTTTGTTTGTATGTATGTATCTATAAGCTGAGGCAGCGGTGACTTCGTCAGCGGCACAAATATTGTAAAGTAGTCTGACTTTGACACAGGCGTCATAACTGTTTAAGTGTCGTGCAGGGAACAAGCTGGAAAAAGTGGTCAGTAGAAAATTAGAGGAAGGGTAGGGCAATAATGTAGACACTTGCCAGCAAATCTTATGCTCCACAACACAGTCAGTACCTATTCTGTTCGCAAACAACTACATGTTTCGTTGAATGTCAATAGACCAAATCAATCAAATTAAATTATGTATTAGGAGAGAGCTCACGTCTGTATCACCGTCAAATATATTCTAAGTAATATAAAAATATGTACTTACCCAAAAAATCATATGCACACTGACGATAATTTTTTTGCCATCTATACAGGAGGGAGATTAATAATTCACATCGCTAAATGAAGAAAAGAGGTAAAGATCGATTAAAGTAAGTTCAGGTAAAGGAAGTAAAATAAAAGAGGATATCGATTATATAATAAATTTAATTAAAACGAGAAAACCTGTAAGGCTTAGTTGATATCATGGGAAACGCATAGAAAAGCGTTTTCTTAAATTAAAAAAAAAAAAAGTTTAATATAAGAGTTTTCTAAACTAACAACCGCAAGTCAATCAAACAGAAAAGAACAGAAATAAATAAAGTAATATTTAATCTTTTCTTTATTTTCCATAAATAATAGAATAGAATATAATAATAGAAACGTATTTTGGAAACCCTAGACGAAACAATTTTTAACAAATTTCAAGGATTTTTTAAAAGAAGCACTTTCAGAGTTGCGCTCATTTGCATCTGTATTAAAAATTTCACAGCTCTTCCGTACTTTGCCGACAACAAATTTAACATTTTATTATTGTTTCTTCAACTTGGTACCGTTTACATTCCGAAAGCTCTGTCAGGCGTCGCCATCAACATTATCATTTAGAAAAAGTTGAGCAAATGTGTAGCATTTATCAAGTTTTATGACTCCATTCGGTGCTTGAAATTTTGTATTTTTTGGGCGCCCCCAATTTGCTTGATATGCAAATAACTAAATTTTTGTTTTCAACACATATTTTTTTTATAAATTTTATTGCCCAACTTTACACGACACAACACACAAAATTAATGCAAACTGGACACTGAAATGCTTGAACTTTTTTCCCTCCGATAAAAGATCTAAACAGCGGCCCATTGTGCGGGTCTGGGAAAGTGTGGCTAACGGGCAATTGTACAGAATTCATTGTTAGACGACGTTAGACGGCCATTCGAGCTGTCGTGGACTGAACTTGGGGAGTTGAGGCCTTGTGGCTGATTTTGAGCTAAAAAGATAAAGACAATTATTATCGCCATTATCGCCAGCATCTGTTGTTGTGGTTGTTGTATTGAGGTTGCCGTTGCTATTGCCACATCCTACAGTGGAAAATGATATGCTGGTTCTGCTATCCAATGCAGCCGCCGTCGCATACAAATTGGCAATAACCATCAATTGGCAGCCAGAGCAGCAGCAGCTGGAGTCGGCTAAGCCAAAGGTGCCAGTGCCAGTACCATGGCCAGTGCCAGTGCCAGGTCCAGTGTTTGCATTAGAATGAGCTATGCCAAGGCTAGGAGCAGCACTCGCATTGGCGGAATGTCGATTACAGTTTAACGCATCCATTGATTTGCTTTCTTTGGCTCTGTTCTTAAGTCTTTGTATTGCAGATCGTGTTGTGATCAGCGAGCATAATTGTATTTTTGGCATTCGATGCTCGATTCAATGCAATTTGGACAAATGGCACTCGCCATCTGCATCTGCAACTGCATCCGGCCCAGTCGGTGTCCATTGTTCGCCTTCAGTTTGCTGTCGCGGCTTCTGTTGTTGAATGTATAGCATTCTTGGCAGCGCATAATTGTAGACTCTGGTATGATAATTCCCGACCAGACAAACATTACCTTAATGCGGAGAATGTTTAACTAAATGCTTGATATTTCAAGAGCTTAACTGTGGATAAGCGTTAAATACGGATGGCCACAAGTCCAATGGATTGGTAAAAAGCTTCATTCAGATGTTAATTAAAACAATATGTACGAGTACATAAACATCAATAAGCATCTAGTTTTTCGATTTTTTATTTGAATAAAATAAATGGATAAATAATATACATACGTTGCAAGTGAAATAAATTGTTGTCATATTCGCCCTTAATTCGTTCGATGGCCAGCTCCAAATCACTGCGTTATCTATCCTTTCCTCAATGTTACTGATGAGCTGGAATTTTATTTATTCCATTTAGTCTAAATGGGCTACCTCTTGTCTTTTTAGAACCTCCTTAGCAGACAGCTCATTTACTTATATCCTTACCCTCTTCGAAGTGTTGACTAACTTGTATATTTTATACATAATATAACCAAAAACCGCATATGCAAAGAAAATATATTTCTACCAACTCGTCCAGTTTCAAATTGAAAAGTGTTTTGTCAAGTCCCCGCTTTTCCTTCTGAAGCATTTTTTTTTTTTTTTCAAATTGTCTGCGATATACTTTACACACAATAAAATATATATTTGCATACATATATGTAATATTGGGATATTTCGAAATTTGTTGACTTTTCTGCAAATTTTAGTATATATGTATGTGTGTATGTAACATTTAATATGCATCATATATTTTTGGGAAAAAGTTTATTCACAATAATACATTTCACTATTACACAATAATTTCCATACTTACGAAACGAATTAAAATTAAATAAGAATATGAAACGTTAACTCTTGATAGCCTTACAAACTTGACAATGAAGCGGGAACGTAATTGCAGAAAATTACAGTCACCCGTTCGCAGTCTGGCAACGCCCGCTCACAAGTGTGTCCATACATTGTGACAATTAAAAGCCAGTCGGCAATTTTATTGCTTATAGTGTGATTACTTTGAATCACTAACCAAAGAACATATGTATATGTTATATGCTGTTTGGTTACTGCTTGAATACAAGCACAGAAACGTACATGTTTTTTATGAGAAGCATTTTCCCGCTAGAAATAAATGTATTCCAGGTAGCTATCATCGTTTCCAGCTAAATATAGAAGGTACCTTATTTTGTTTGTATTTAGTTTATTTTCTGTATTTTAATTCAGCAAGTTACGAATATTCAATTATTTTCATTTGTTTTGTAATTGACTGTAAATAAGAAACAAAATATTTTCATCTGCCTTCGAAATGTTCACCTCGTTTCACTTTGAAACTGCTAAAGATTATATTTAAATAACTTAAAGTGGGCGACCATAGAGATAACGTATATAATCTGTCCTGGATGGAGCTCTGCATTGGGGACACTCATTCAGTTGCTGTAGGCAGCTTCGTATGCATTTGTCACCAAAGAGATGGCCACATTGGAGCGACACCAAACGATGATCACTTGATGAATTCCATGGATCCAGACATATGGAGCAAGAGACGCTGATGTCGTTATGGGTCTTGCAACGCTCTATTTCTTGCTCTAACTCCAAGCATTGTCTATCCTTCGCCTCCAGCTCACTTTTAAGTTTCAATTTCAGTTGATCCATCTCCTGCATATGGGATTCCTCTTGTCTTTTCAAGTCGGCTAGTAATTGCAGACGCATTTGGTCCTTTTCCAATAATTTTTGATCAAATTCTTGGGATTGCAAAACCTGTATCGTTTTAATAGAAGCGACATGCTCATCCATCTCCCGACAATAGTTCTGTAGGGACTGCAGCTGTTCCTGATTCTGAATCAGCACTGGTTGGTTCTGAAATTGGAGATCCTCAACTTTTGCGCACAGCTCACTAAGTTGTTTTTGTAGTTCATTTGTGTTTTTTAATATTATCTTATAAGGATCTAGCTCGCCCGTTTTCTGTTCTGTCTCCAAGTCAAGCTCTTTTTCAATATTTTCCTCTTGAATTGATAAAAGCTCCTCTTCGCCATTGGATAGTGCCATTTTTGTATTTTATAGAAGGTCGGACCTGTAATTATGCATGTGCAAAAACAAAGTAGACATGTATTTTAAAACAAGGGATTCCCCTTTGGAAGTATGCCTTGTTCTTGTTTTATGTCTCGGCAGTTCAAGGACAGCACATATGGAAATTTAAACTCGTACATTAAATGTGTGTATATACATACACACAAGCATATGTATGTATGTAGGTACTTATTTGCATAGAGCATACAAACAAGACTCGGATAGAAATGAATAACTATGATTATAACAATGATTATATTGAATAACAAAACACTATTAACCTCACTTCATACCTTTATCACTTTAATTATTTTCAGAAACAAGTTTTAATTAGCTCCAAACACCATTTGCTCGCACTCGATACAATTACCGAAGGTGATGCCATATTAACGAAACGAAGCTGAACTTTGCTTTTAAACACTTCAAAGGGCTCATCAATTTAGGTACTCACTGGCTGAAGAACATTGTGTGGCAACGCCAAAGATTTCTCTTCCCTTTGCGCATCTTGATTTAAGAGAACTTTTATTTGATCATCTATCGTTTGTGAGCACATTAATATGTTAACCTCGGTAGCTTTTTTAAAATAAAATAACATATAGTAAATGTGATTATGTCATTTATTCAAACGAATTAGTATGGGCTGCCATATATAATACGTATGTCCTTCAATGCTGCAGGAGCTCTGCATTGTGGGCATATTTCTCGTTCCTCCAGACTGCGTCGTACGCACTTATCGCCAAAGAGATGGCCACATTTCAAGGACACGACACGATGGTCACCAGACAATTTCCATTCATCCATGCATATGGAGCAAGAGACTTTCTGATCAGAGTTGTCCTTCAGCTGCTGTTGAGCCTGTACAATCCGCGTTAGCTCCAACCAGTATTTCTTGCTCAGCTCAACTTCTTTTTGTAGCTGCATATTTTTTTCCCTGACTTGCTGCAAGTTGCTTTTCTTATGCACTAGAAAATTAGCTAAATATTCCGTACGCGTAGACTGCTTTTCCAATACTTGCTTCTGTAACTTATTGTACATAATATTCACTGTCGTCAGAATGGAGGAAAATTCCTTATGCATTTGATGGCTGAAGCTCTTTAGATTATCATTGGCCTCCCGAAAAATTTGTAAGGACTGTTCTTTATTTCCAGCATAGAACTCAGGTAGGCCTTGAAAGTACACCTGTTCAACTTTTGTGTGCAGCTCCCGAACATTTTTCCATATTTCATTCATTTCACTTGTAAATATTTGTACAGAATTTGACGCTTCTTTTTCCTGGGCTTTTTCGATATGGTCTGATTTGAGCATTTGAAAGTCTTCGCGGGGCTGTTGTATTTGAACAGCATTTCGCGTTTTCGTCATGCGCTCTCGAATGGATAAAAGCTCCAATCTCGTGTAAGACGGCATTTTCCAAATTGATTTATTTCGGTTCCTTTCCTGTCCCAACTGAGCCTTGGGAATGTCAGAAACACGACTCTTAACATTTTAGTGATGTACAAAAACATCAAATGCGATTTATCGATTTATTTAACCGTGGTATTCGATTATTTCTTATGACTTTCTTCCGGACATCCAATAGTACATGCCTTGGTACTTGGGTAAAAAGGCATTTTTAAGTTGTCTTCAATTGCTGCACCTTGAGGCTGTCAAAAACTTGCGTTTATTTTAAACCCAACATATAAACATATGTATGAATGAGCATAAAGCTATAATAAGTGTTGCCACGTTGATCAAAACAAATATGTGTAAAAGCATTTTGCTTTATAAATTTGAGTACTCACTGGTAGGAAATGTTTGTGAAGTGGTTACACCGACTTCCTTCCTTCCTTTCAGGTGTCAGCAACTTTTCGAGAGCTTTTCTAAGTTTTTAAAAAAAAAAACCCCTCGACTTTTTTCTTGCTTCAACCAACTTACGAGTATGTTAGAATGTGGTCAATGTAGTAGTTCTTATATATCTTTCTTTTTTCTTAGGTATGAAACCAGAAAGTTCATTGGCTGGAGGTCCCCCCGCAAAACAGCTACGTGGACAAGATTCGGAGAATAAGCTTAAGAAGGAACTAGAAACTTTGATCAAAGAACGCAACGAACTCAAATTAAAATTATCTACTGCTGTATACGAGGTGGAATTAGTGAAGTCGGCATCATTGAAATTGGAAGAAGCATATAATGCTTGCATAGCCGGATTACAAACAGGCATGCGAGTCCTAACCGAAATGCTGACAGGCTCAAAATCACGATTTGGGGGTGGTAAATTAGATAACATAAACCAGAAATTGACCGAGGTACTTCAACAAACCAAAGAATTGTGCGTTTCTTTGGATGCGGTGCAGAAGCCACACCAACCCGAATGTCGTTGCCAAAGAGGTGAAGTTGAGAGCTTGACCATAGCACAAAAACTGCTGGTTGAGGAATTCGAACTGAAGATGTTCGAGAAGGATCAAATTATACTTAAGCTTCAGGCAGATCTAAAACTTCAAGAAGAGGCCCATTTGAGGAAAGTGGAGGAACTGAAGACGGAAATTGAAGGTCAACATCGCGTTAATCCCAATTATATAACATGCTCGATATGCCTTGATACGTGGACTTCATCCGGTAGCCATCGTGTGGTCTGTTTGGCATGCGGACATGTTTTTGGGGATATGTGTATTCGTGTGCACTTGAACCGTTGCATTGAATGTCCTCTATGTCGATCTCCAGCCGATTCAAAGGACTTGCGTTATCTATTCCTGGAAGGAGCTCACACTGAATAAAGCAAATGCTTATTATGTTGTATCATAGATTTGAATAATAAATTGAACAAACACACATACATATATGCCTGACAAGAACTTTTAATGGGCTGACAAAATGCTAAATGGACTTCCCTCCTAATAGACAATTCATCAATTCAGCGCCCTTTAACAAACTGTCAACTGCAGTTGTGTGTTGTGGCATGCCCCAGCGTTCCATTAGCCATCAGAATCCCAAGTTCCAACGCATCGCTAGGCCCTCGATAATTGCGCTGTCACTTGGCTGAAGACATGGCAATTTGTGGGCATAAAAGCGCGCAAATTTGTTATGAGTTCTCTCTCCTGCCCCGGCTGGTGCTCGAGGAGTTGGCACTGTTTGCCCATTCTGCTGCCGGTCCTGCTCCGGCTGCTGATGCTGATGGCTGTTGATGAAATGGAAATGCGAGAGACTCGCGAGTTCTTCGCATTGAAATCCATTTAATCGAGCCATCATACAGTTCCATAGTGCCGTCCACTTCCCTCCTCCAGCCACGTGTTCACGTCGCCGTTTGTTGATTTATGAAATACTTGCCGGCTCGCAAATGAAAATCCATTGGCCATCGTACGTTTTGAGTTTGTTTAACTGCGAGTACGAGTGTATTTGTATCTGGTTGCCATCCGCTTTGGTTTATTGCCAAGTGGCCCAATGCTCAAGAGCTCGCACCGGGGCTGGTCATGCGCTCAGCGCTAAGCAGCCAAGAGGCGTTGCACATAATTTGCTTTGATCTGTTTCGCATTTGGAGAGCTGTCAACTGGGCAACACAGTTGGCAACGGGAGACACAGACGTAGACGACGACGGCCCGGCCTGACAATAGAAGCTGGCCGAGCATTCCGATTAGAGCATGCTGTTTGGCGTAGGCTTTAATGCCAATTGGACAGTTTTTTGCAATCAGCTAGGCCGTCAAAATTAATTTGTTATAATAACAAATTGAAAGTGCCCATAAAACGCTTTGAGCTCACCATCAGAGCAGCTGGAAGTCTTTGGTGTCAGATTGCTGTTTAGCTAACTATGATAAGTGCAGGCTGTATTAGTATATGGTATCATTAAAGCTCTAGACACAAGTTTCAGAGCTATGGACCACTCGTTGCCCAGCTGAGTGCAACAACAAACTTATGTTAATTTCATTAAGCCCAACGTGACCTTTCCTATTCGCTACAAATATTGTTAGCCCTTACGTTTTTTTTGTGTACGTATCTTCAATTTGTACTTTAGACCATCGACAAAATCTAAAACAAACACTTCAGAAAATATGAAAGCGCGTCACGTTTTAAAAACTCTTTAAGTGGTTTCAGCCAAATGAATTTTATTTCGGCCTCGGGGCCCACTAAGAAACTGTAACAGACGTTGGAAATATGTTAAGAAAATAAAAAACAAATCTTCAGCTTCAGATGTGTAACAAATTGGAGCTCAGTTCAAGCTGGGCCAAGCCTTCATAGGAATCATCGATTGTCATTATCAATGTGATAAGCCACTGGGATCAAAATATTGTTATGCTCGTACTCATGTGCCCACCACCAGTTCTGAGACCCGTCAACTTTTTGCTCTTTCTTTTTTTTTTTTTTTTTTTTTTTTTTTGGTTTTGTCAGTCCCCCCGCCTTTGAGATCCAGAGATCGCAGCTGTCAGCTGGCGGTCAGGCTACGAAATACTTCGAATGCACTTGAGACATTTCTCTTGAACTTCAACGCCTGCCAGGCCGCTGTCAAAATATTTCAATGAGTTCTCTTTTTTCGTAGCTTTTATCACTGGCTCTGTGGGTCTGGGGACCCGGAGGCGAGGGCTCGGGATTGGGCATGAAGCGCAACTTGTTGTGCGGTCTTTTGATGAGATCTCAATATGACGGCTGTCTGTCCGCTGACATTGCGACGCGTCGTGTGTGTTTGTGGGGAGCAGTTTGTTAGACAAATTAAATCTGTTATTTTCAATTTCCAATACACACACACACACACACACAGACACAAGCAAATAAACAACGCAACAACGATAAGAAGTGGCTTCTAACTAAGTGAAACTCGTTCTGTGCAGGCGTATGGTTATGGCCATGCCCACAGAGCTGCATTCCCATGTCGCGCGGTAACCACACGTTGATCGGGATCGGCCACGGGATCGGGTGATCGGATGATCGCAACGGCAAACGCTGCCAACATATTCTTGTATTTATAAGGTTTCTGTCATTTCTGTTAAGGATTGAGTTATTTGCTTGCCTGGGCCACAGTCGCCAGTGTCTCACCATGCGCCTTCGGGATGTTGTCACTTTTTTGTTCGCATGCTGAAAATACGCTTGTTTTTGTTGTTGTTGCTCGTAGTAAGGCGATACTCTACACGTTGATTGTTTACGATAAGCCCAGGTATGCGGCGTACATAATGCAAATATTTGAATAAATCAAAGCTGGCAATTTAAATGATCCGAAATAAATAAAAGAGAAGCCGAACCAAAGTCATAATTGAAAATTGATGTATCCAAAAACATGTGCAAATCAAACTAAATAGGAATAAGGACGAAAAGCCATTCGATGCATGTATATATGTACATACATATGAGATTTAATTCCCGGATTCAATCAAAATGTTAAATTGGCACTCAGAAAACACATATCGATTATGTTCTTAGCCAAATTCTCATTTATCGAATACCATTTTGAACACGTGCTCGGGGCAACAAAGCAATTTCAATCTGATAAATGGCAGCTGCACTCGAATATTACGAATATTATAAAATTTGCACATTGCGAAACTTGAGCAAACAATAAAATGGCAATTAAAGCTGCTGAGTAAACATTTAATGGTTATTACATGGCAATAAGAAAACAAGTCGAGCAATAATAATAACAAACTAAGCCCAGAATTGAGGAAACTTGATAAAATTGCAATTTCAGTTAGTTTCGTATCGGCATCTACAGCTGGAACTATGGACCAGCATTTATTGACACTCGTCTTATCATAACTAAAATCATTTGCATGTATTGCAAACATGGCAAACAACAACAAGAACAACAACGGCCAGGACCAAAGGCAATCGGAACAGGATGAGGTACGTGTCGCCTGGTCGCTGGCAAACATGAAAATTCAATAAGCATAAGAATTTCGAATTTACGATGATATTAACAATAATATTGCAGTTGTCGCAATGGGCGCTGAGGGCGCAACACGAGATGCCCAACTGGAGCTGCAACTGGTAACAGTTGGACAGTTGGGGGCACCCCGTTGCTTGAGACTGGGGCAGATTGAAAAGAAGAAGAACAAATAGAAAGGCATGCTGGGAGCGCTTACCACAAATACCCTTTAAATATATGAGATATTCCCCCCGATTGAAAGTAGCTTTAGAATAAGGAAATTCGAAGGGAAATTCGCTAGATGGAATTGGAAAAAGGACCAATTAATTATTATTGTTATTCGTTTTATCTTAGATATCTATATTTTATTCTTAAAGTTTCTTATGTAATTAGGGTATGCACGCTTCGGATTGGGCATAAGTTTGCTTTCTTTTCAGTCTTTTTATAGCGTAATGCATTTATTTAATAAATTCATATACAACATATAAAAAAAATGCTGCACAATGCCGCCAGGCACATGTATCTTAGCCTGGGACTTGGGAGTTGATGTTGGTCTACGACACGCACCAGGAAATTGGCAGTTGAATGGGCAGTCGCCTGGCCAGCCGCTAGAGGATTGTAAACAATTTTATGAGCTCGACTGCAATAATCTACGCAATTTTATTGACACTTTGCTTTTTGTTGTAATTCATGCGTTTGTTTGGGTGTTTATCGCGCCGCGGGCGATCTTCTGCTTGGCAGCAGCTAGCTTGGTGCCCTTCGGTTGTAGCCCCGACTTTCTCCATGGGCCCCAATCTATCAGCGCCGATAAGCCGCTGGTGTGTCTTGTCTGTTGAGTGGCTGACATGGGAATGCTGCAGGCTGTCCCCATTTCAACTAGGCGCAGGTGCTGCAGCCCAAAGCCCTATCTGATTGTCACCTAACGTTTGACTAATGAACCATTCGACGGGGTTTACTTAGTAGTTGAGAATTATCTTTCTAGCTTTGTTGTTGTTGTCTTTTTTTCGGGTATTTTGTGTGCCAACTGCCATTTTCTTCGTGTGCAGTAGCTGTCTCTGGCCATTTTAGATAACCCTATCCAAATGTCAGTCTTGAGTAAAACAAGCTATCGGTTTATGGCATCTGTGCTACTTAATTGAGCCACTGCCACACTAAAAGCCGAAAGCAGCGGCCATATATATAAAACGCTTTTGCATAATTAAAACCCCTTGAAATGCAACGAGTTATTGGATACCTCCCTCCATACCCATGTCCCATGCCCCGCGCAGGCTTCAACGCTCGTCGTGTCCGTTCGACTCGCTCATGTTGTCATTTTAAATTTTAATCGCTTGTCATAAACTGCAATCGCATTAATTTCCATGCCTGACATGCAATTATATGTAAATAAATATTTATTTTTAAATTTCCAATTTATTTATTTACAGCTTTTATTGCTGCGTCTACGAATTTATTCTATAAATTAAAAACCATATTGCCGTTCATGACTTGTATTGATTTAGTGCCACATTTTTAAAGCTTCTTCACCCAGCTAATAAACGCTCAAATAAGTGCCGTTAAGAAAATTCAACGATTGTGGTATTTTCAATGAATATTTAAACATTTAGCTTTATGCATTTTCATAAATATAATAACATTTATTTACTCTTTACTCTTTCAACCATATAAGCTGCGACTGCGCGTTTTCCTATGCTCAGTTCTTTATTCTTTTTAATTAATTGAAATTCCTTTTGCTTTTTTGTTAACACAAATGTTTAAAAATAAACTGTGTTTAATTTATAGCGATTTTTTACACTTTTTATCCCACATTCTCAAATTGAAGAACGTAATTATTAACCTTTAACATTTTCACGCATGAAAGTTATGTGAAGAAAAATATACAAATTATTCACGAAGTCCGTTCGAAAAGGGAATGTGAATAGGTAAGTAAGCATCTTTATTTTTTAGTTTTATTTTTACCTTTTGTTTTTT